TGTGTCACAAATTCGACCCCAACTTAGTTTGCAAAAGCGAATTATTCTTCACAAATGTGAAGTACCAGCCCCCATCCCATTTTTGCATTTGCGAGACTGACGTCGCAAATGTGAGGCTCGCAATTGCGATCAAGTTCTCGCAAATGCGAGACCCACAACTAGACACCAGCTGTTCTAAATCAATCCGTAATGCATCTGAAACTCACTGTGCCCCTCGGGCTCCAAACCAAGCATTCACACAAGTGTAATAACACCTTACAAATTCGCTCGCTACCTCAAATCATCAAAATAACATCAAATGACAAGAATCGATCCTTAAAACTCAAAGTTTTCAACTTAAAACTCAATTTTCATAATATTTTTCATAATGCGTCGAAATGTTCTTGGATCACCCCGGACACCAACCAAATGTGTGTGCAAGTCCAAAAATATCATACGAAACTACCGGAATCGTCAAAACACCGATCCGAGGTCGTTGGCTAAGAACGTTGACTGTGGTCAACCCAAACCTTATTTTAAGTCCAAAATAATCTTTTCTTCAAAAATTTCCATAAAAGCTTTCTTAAAAGCGACACGGACCACGCACGCAAAATCAATAAATAACAATGAAGCTTTGAGAGGTCTTGGAACACATAAATTTAGGCTAGTGCTCAAAAAGACCTATTGGTCGTCATATTCTCCACGTCTAAAAGAAACGTTCATCCTTGAACGGACATAAAAAAGTATATGGACTTGTAAAAAGGTATGGGTATCTACTCTGCATATCGAACTCGGACTCCCACGTAGCCTACTCAATCTCAACTTACGAACCTGTCGGTTTAGAATAGCTGCCGGCTCTTCCTCATAGGTCAAGTTTTCATCAAGCTGCACCGTGGTGAAGTCCAAAACATGTGCTATCCTCATGGTACTTCCGAAGCATGGAAACGTGAAATATCATATGTACCCCTACTAGGCTATAAGGAAATGCAAGCCTATAAACAACCTCCCCAACTCTCTCCAAGATTTCAAACGGGCCAACAAACCTCAGGCTCAACTTGTACTTCATCCCAGACTACATCATGACATTCATAGGAGACACTCAGAGAAGAACCGTCTTACCCACCATATAAGCCATATCTCAAACCTTTCGGTCCACATAACACTTCTGCCTGGACTAGGTTCTACGAAGTCGCTCTCGAATCACCTTAATCTTTTCCCGAACATCACAGACCAAATCGGTATCCAACAATCTAGCCTTTCCGGGCTCAAACTAACCAATCGACGAACGTCATCGCCTCCCATATAAGGCCTCGTACGGAGCCATCTAGATGCTCGACTGATAGATGTTGCTATAGGCGAACTCCGCTAGAAGTGAAAATTGGTCCCATTGACCCCCAAATTACATATAGCATGACCATAACATGTCCTCCAATATCTGAATAGTGAGCTCAAACTACCCGTCCATCTGAGGATGAAACGCGGTACTCAGCTCGACCCGCGTGCCCAACTCATGCTGCACGTGTTAATTTCGTACTTCAGTGATGTCTTATATTGTGTAAATGACTTTCTAAGAATGATTTAAATCAGCTTAAAGTCTTAATATGACTATATATTATGTTTGGATAGAGCATATAATGTTTGGGAAAAATTGAATTTAAGTTGCGAAAAAGCCGACAAAGGATTTGCTTAGTAACGAAGTTTTTTGAGCAATTAATTTTGTGTGTTATATGAAGTCCTTTGGGGACATATTATATACCAAATTGAAGGTCTAAGAATTTATTTTCCAACGATATTTACTGTTCGTTCATACGACATTCAGATAAAGAGATATGAGCGTCGGAAGAAAGGCCGATGAAGCACACATGTGGTTGACTTTTCAACTTACTATAAATAGAAGACAGTCTTATTTTTCCTCAGTTTTCCAGCAAATTCACGCACAAGCAGAGTTTCCATAGCTCTCGAAGAAGTTTCTTAGGATTTTGAAGCAAGCCCATCATCCGCAACTCAAAATCAAGAAGCGAACACATCAACGCGATCCTTACGACACAGCTATACAAGCATAAGAAAGGGTGTGGACCAAAGGGAACAAGGTTTGGAAGCAAGAACACAAGAGGTATGTAGGGTTTCTGTTTCGTATTCAGCATGATTTGGTTTAGCTATATTCTATCCTTTACTCTTGATCTATTAAGAGTTATTCAAGGGAAATTTCATCATGTATTGTATTCTTGTATAGTATTCAATTCCATATGTGAAGTATGGAAGAAACTAGTTTAGGTTGGAACTTCAAAACTCAACAAAAACAAAAAAGGGGAATCACCCATTTGGCCTATGCCATCCGAACTTTCGTTTGTTCAGTTCCTTTCATATTTTTATGTATACCTAACCCACATATGATCCTAATAGCTTCATTTAAGATTATATAAGCTTAAATTATCATGTGTTGATGCTTAGATTATTCCTAAATCATATTTAGACTTTCATGTCACAAGTTAGCCACTATGAGCCGACATTACATTCATAATTCTATTTTGTCGATCGTTTGACACTATTGTAGATAACCGGATCTCTTTTAGTTTGATGTTATCATCTTGGCCGGGTATCTAATCCTGTATATAATGTGGTGCTTTCAATATTTTGGGAATCATCCAGATTTAGGGGAAGCACTGTCGAAATTTTTGGAAGTTCGAAGAGTTGGACAAATTTTGAATTCATTGGTTCTAAATTGATTCTAGAGGGAAACTAATGAGTTAATTAGCCTTAGTATCTTATGTACATACTCAATTTCTTCCTAAATTGAGAGGATCCTCCGTCCAACTTATGGATGACGAGCGTCAGATTAAGTTTGTGATTCTATTTATGGTTTCCTTCATGATCTCTTGAGTCCATATGATGTTGCCACATGTGTTATGCCTCATACATGCTTACATTGATTATGTTGGGGGGATATTTCCCATAACGCCAGCAAGGACTATTGATTATATGCTGGGGGAGATATCCCATAACACCAGCCGGGCCTATTGTTATATATTTACCTGCTGGGGGGAACCCATAACACCTGTCATACATGTTATATACGTGTATATAGTTACCTGATTGGC